TAAATTCAATAAGCTTATTAATAATTATTTTGCTTATTTTCTTTTTAAAGCTATTCAATATTTATTCTTGTTTTAAAACCATTCAATGCTTATTTTATTTTTAAAGCTATTTAATGCTTTAATCTATCTTTTATTTATATTTTTAATAATAGATATAATATTACTTCTTATTTAATTATTCTACAATTTAAAAATCCATCTAATGAAATTATTATAAAATGGAATATTTATTGTGGATTAAATGAATTAATCAATAATCAATTAGATTTAGATAAATATTAAAAGAAAAAATAACAAATTTTATTAAATTTATCAAAAATAGTATTAATTTATATTTGGTTTCTTATTTCTGGTGTTGATGTTAAAAGGAGTTTTAGAAATTATAAAAATATTATTAATTATAATAGGCATGTATTAACAAAGAAATTTATTGAAAAATTAGATTTTTTATATTTTAATTCTTAATGTTATTTTTTTTATTTTCATTAGATTTTTTTTTATACTAATTTTTATTAATAAAAACTTATCAATTTTTTAATACTAGTTTAATAAATATATTAAATTTTTTATTATATTAATTAATAATAATATAAGTTCTAGAAAAGATTTGTAATTAGATTTGCACTTTTTAAATTAAAATTAATAAATTATATATAATAAAATTCTATCAATTTTAAGTTTATTTAACTAAAACTTTAAATTATATTTTAATAAATTATTATTAAACTATATGCTAAATTTAATTTAAATTTATTATATAAAGAATCAAATAATTTATTAAATAATTTATTGTTTAAATAAAAAAAAAATGTTAATTATATTTTTATTTGTAACTTAACAAAAATTATTTAAAAAAAATAAATAAAATTAAATATAAATAAATCGACATTTATAGAATAATTTTATTTAAAATTTTATTTATTAATTAATTTATAATTTAATTTGATATTTTAATTTTTAATAAAAATTTTATATAGTACTTTTTAGTTTCTGTTTAATTTCTGTTTAAAAAAAAATAATATATATATATATTTATATAGATTTTGCTTTTTAAATAAAAGATTTTAAAAAATAAAATAAAAGAACAAGATAATAAATTAAATAATTTTTTTTTTAAAAAAATATTAATATTAATATAATAATTTTTAATTAAAAATTTTAATAAATCTATATCTTTTAAAATATAAATTAAAAAATTTTTTTAAATAAATACTTATTTAAATGGTTATAAAAATTTCAATCATAAAAAATTTTTTTGACATTTTTTTTTGCAACATCTTGTAAGTTGCGGTTTTTGCGGTTTTTACGACTACGTGTTGCACGTGATATAGTATTGTTAACATTGCGTAAATCCATTGGTTAAACCAATTTTGCCGAAAAAGCCGAAATCTGGACATCCTAATCTAGCTCAGAGACAAACATCTCTACAATAATCAGATTTATTTATAACTTTATTTTATACAAAAAATATTGATTCGTATTTTTAATCCGTTATTTTATTAAATATAATTGACTATCAAACAGCCATACCCTAATCCCTATTGGTTTGTTCGTGGTGATCACTGGAGGGACGAAGTCCCTTGAAAAATAACTACTGGTTAATGTATTTTAAAAAACAGATATAGATACAGTGTGCAATCAAAGAGTAAGTAAAAAATAGGTTATAAGATATTACGTCATAATTGGCAATCTTATGCTTTACGTAATTATGATTTATATAAAAAGGCAAAATAACTATACGTTTACATCTGCATGTAAGATATGTAAGAAGCAGAGTTTTAGTTGCTATTTACAGGGGGGTGTTCTTTATACGTCACTTATGCGGCACCCTTACAAATAAAAATACAAATAAAAAATAAAGAATAAAATTGTTAGATTATGTTAATAGCAGAGATGGCACGTTCTTCTGTTCGTACTTTATATTTATATCTACTTCTCTTCGTTCTTGTTTTGTGAGGTGGTATGCTACACGTGTCATAAAACAACAAATGCTTGTAAGCTAGTTTGTAGTTTAATAAATTTATGTTGTAACGGTGTAACAGCGTAATCGTCGTTTTTCTACTTGACCTTGTTTATCTATATTTTTTTATTTGTACAAGACATTTTTTATACTTCTTTCTTTACATTTTGGCTATAACATCTTGGACATAGAATAATAGATAATGATACAATGACAAGGCTAATGCTAGATTACATAATTCTTTTTAACAATTCTTTCCGTTCCTTCTTTATTACCTAATGATTACAGTCAACTCACCATTATCGCGACGATCGATCACGTGACCGACGTCGCGTTCCATTTCTTCCTGTTAACAATGTCAAGAATTAATGAGACATTGATGATGAGCTACATTATGCTTACTGCTTTAGAGCTGCATATAAATAGTGAATTGGTCGCATCAGATTTCAACTTTGAAATAATGCTTTGACATTATTTATTTCACACCAACCCCTGATTTTTACGCCAAAGCTGTATCATAGATGTGATTTCAATAAGCGGTATTTATATTTTCTTTTATATATACAGTATATTAAGCATTACTTATTTTTTTTTATAGTGGCGTTTATGCAGAAGAGTGGATATATTAAAAAATAAAAACTCAGGCAGTTGCTCAAGTATTTTCAAGTCAAATCGTAGCATTTGTATATAAGATAAAATATTGATTCAACTTGAACGACTTTTTGATATCTAGAATTTATTTTTAGTGCTACCTCACTGTTCGCGACGTAATAATATGGGAATCAATAAAATTGCTTAATTGTTGCTAGTAAATGATTCCAGTATATATATTAAACACGTATTAATATAAGGGGCGTAAAGGTGTTGCATAAAGAACACCTCTGCGACCGAAAATAGCAACTAAAAACTCTGCTTATGTAAGATATGATGTATGTTTAGGATTACGTAATATACACAGCAGGTGATATTTTCCCACAAGCTAACGTGTCAGAGCTTTTATCTCTAATATAAAATGGGTAGGTTTAATTTTTTTAAAAAATAACCTTTCCTCTCTGACTCTATGGCTAAGAAATCCCTTCTTTCTTTACGAAAGGCCTCTTTTTCTTTTTTGTCCCTTCCTTTTGTGTGTGGTCTTCTAAAAAAAAACAAAAAAACCCTATCCCTATATCACATTTCTAGTCCACGAATATGGGCGAGTGACGCGTAGCTTTGTATTTCCTTGGTACCTTGTCTATACGTTGCGAAAAAGTCGAATATTACAAACTTATTTATTTTTTATCGACTTTTTTTAAATTTAACTTGACTTATTATTTCCCTATTCATCGAGTCCCGTGATGCCCACCGATTCTGAATGAGGGGTCGGTTTTGTTTCATTTGAGACGGCGTTAATAGGGCCAGTGATGTATAGCACGGTCACCAGGTCTCGTCATGGCTTAGGAGATGTCAACTGCTTCTAGGGCGTGCATTTCTTTTATTGAGGGTGTCAACTGCTTCTAGAGCTTGCATTTCTTTGGTTGGCACTGTTATATATTGCGAAAAAATCGAGTAACTTTCATTCGGTTTTTTATTTTTTATTTTTTTTGGAGAGGAAAGGGAAATCAAATCGGGATAAGGCGCGCAAATTCAAAGGCAAAATTATAATCTTTTGTAAGGAGTCGTTGTATAGATAAGTATTTTTTTATTTCCCTATGTATTTATTTTATTATATTTTGTTAATATTAATTCTTTTTTTTTTCTATCATTCTAGTAATCGGATATCGATAAAATTTTAAATTCTTTAGTTTATATTAAAATATATAAGTTTATAGAATATTTGTAAATGTACGTTGTGATAAATAAATTAATTAATAAAAATAATAAAACGGTTAAATATTTGTTTACACATATTAGTCCGCAATGTTTTGAAATGACAAAAAAATGTTCTTATCCAAGAAAACAAACAAATCAGATATTTACAGTTTTACTCCGGGAGATCGCAGGCAGGTACTCACCTTTTGATACAACATAACGTTAATTCATCAAATTTCGGAGGTCTTAGGGAGTCGAGGATAGAAGGGACGCCTCGAGGATATATCGATATTTATGGTTAGCTTATTAAAGAAATAAATCGTATTTCGTTAATGATTATAGTCTCATTTAGATAATTCATATTCTTTAATTTTTATTAGCTTGTTGGAGACGAAAATCCAAAAAAAGATCCGAAATTATTCAGGTTAACAACGAATTGATCAACATATTGGATATTAAAATTAAGATATCGAAGGCATCAGATATCTATCTATTCTGGGTTAGATCTTCTAATCTATAACTATTTTAATAAAGTATTTTTCCGATGAAGTGATCTTGGGGATTCTTGATTGTAAGACAATATAACTATCGGCTTGATAATTTCTATGCAACGGCTATCCAGCAAGCTTATAGGAATTACAAGAAGAGACACGAATCTTTGGCAAAAAAAAATTTGGAAGGCGGTGAGGAATGATGGGACTCCTGATAGATGGAAATATTTAGGTATTATTCCCCGTGATGAGAGTTATTATTATATTAACGGAGAACTAATAAAATTTAACTGAAAAGTTAATTTTCCCAAACAGAGCTAAAATCAATTGTAGAATGAGCCGTGGGATTTGCTAGCAATGTATTTATGGAAGGTTCTTCGCGTTAATTAAAAATTTTCCGAATCTTACCACAGGTTAGTTAGTTTATTATTATATGATGATACTGTGTGATCGTTTTAAGGATAGCCTGAATGAATAAGTTGTTTTTTGGTTTGTTGCTTATGTTCGGCCTACTCATTCAGCTCGCTTGCCAGTAAATATTTACATGTAGTAGAGGGGTGTGTTAATGTATGAATTATTATGTTGCTTTGTTAGTATCACACGAAATTTTGTCTGCGTGATGACCACACAAAAATAATAACTTCGCATATACACTGATAACTGTTATTTTTATGATGAAAACTTCTTTTTATTCTGAAATCTAACACAATATATTTTTTTAGTTGGACATTGCCTTTGAAGGAGTTTGTACCTTATACAACATGGGGACAATTAAAACGGATAAGGAAACTCCTTTTGGTTCGGATCAGATTGAAGATAATATAAATGATTTGAAAGAAAAGCTTAGAAAAGATACTTCGCCCCTCTATCAACACTTATATTCCAAAGTAAATGTTATTTCTATTCAAAGCTTAACCTGGAAGAATCCTTTGGCCAGTCGAGTTATTAGGATCAGTCAGAAGTTACCACCAAATCTATCCATAAATTCATTGGACGCCTGCTTCTGTGCGATAGTTAGAGATAAGTGTAAAAATTTCGTAACAAGTTCTGTCGATCGTAATATTCAGAATACGATACTACAGTAGATAAACTAATTTATGATCGATCCTGAAAAGAATCAGAAGAAAAATCACGGATGTTATAAAAGAAGTTTTAAGATATTTGGATTAACTCAGCTTTTAATTCCGAACTTGCGAAATCACTAAATGAAAGAACTTATCAATCAATGGTTATTCTATTATCTATTTGAGCAGTATTAAAAAACTTTTTAGATTATCCTTATTCATCAATACTTCATAACGGCAGAGTATTGCCAGTGCGGATAGGAAAGGCGAAGGGCAGATGGAAAGATAACCAGATATTTGTATGTGGTAAAATATTTTGATGTTTTCTTCGAGCTTAAGTATATCGAATGTTCACGATTATACCGCAGTCAACAAAAAAAGATAGATGAGAAAGATTGATTTGGAATAGTTGGAGTACAAATAGCTGGGAATATGTTGCATCTGAATGTATTTATTAGAGATAAAGTGAACGTTCATAGATATTTTCATTTACAATTGGCTGCGATTGTCGGATGTGGGTGTTGTAACTAAATTCGTAGAATCCCTTTTACAAAACATATTAATTACAAATTTGTCCTTACTTTATCATGCATCCATTCCATATCACAAAGACAAAAAGAAGACAGTTCTACAGTTTCTACTCCAATGCGAGATGATTAGAGTTTTTTTGTAATATATATTATGTAATAATAAAAAATTTCTTGGCATTTTTTTGTCCCTAGTGATCGGTTTCACAAATATACTGTATGTTCATGTATTAATAAAAAATTTCTTAGCATTTTTTGGGACGGCCGTCTCAGAAAATACGGGATTTTTTATTTTTGAATATTAACAAATTACGCAAGCATGCAATCTGAAATAGATGATATTGATTCATTAAAACAATGCATTAGTGAGCGTGAGGCTAAGAACAATAAAATTAAGGCTGAAAATGTTGAGCTTAAGGTCAGAATTGTGAAATTGGAAGATTAGCAATTGCAAAACGAAATAGTTAAAAACTTATTGTCTGTATCGCGAAAAACGTAATCATGTATTAATGTTATGGCCTATGGTACAGACGGGTGACAGAAAATTAGGACGTTTTATCGATTTTTCATAATAAAACATAATATAAATTGAAATTTCTGTGCTATATGAAAGTTATCATTGTTTCTAATAAATAATTTTTATTTCATACCAACATAAAATTAATCAATTACATCTCTTGAAAATATATTTTTTTTATTTTTTAAAATTTTTTTACACAAATTGTTCTACTAATTGAAAAAAAAAAATCAAGAATTTTTTCCTATGTATTATACAGTCCAGTCCAAAAAAACCCAGAATTGAATTTTTCTTATAATTTGATAAATAATTATTTCAATCAAATAAAACTTTTAATATATATTATTTATAATAAAAAAAACAAAATATTAAAATATTATGAATATTTAATTAGTAATTTATTTTAAAATATCAATTTAAAGTTGAAAAAAAATTTTTTTTAAATGATTACAAATTTTAAATATAAATTTACAGTATATCTAAATTCTGTTTGAAAAATAAAATTTTCAACTTATAAAAAAATTATTAAATGTTTCTTATCATGTTTAAATAATAATATTAAAAATTTTTTATTTTTTATCTTGTAAAATTAATTTTAAAAAATTTTTAAATCCTTTAAAATTTTGATTTTAATATAAAACTTAAAAAATTCATGTAAAATTTAAATTAAAAATTATTAAATAAAACAAAAATTTTTCAATAATAAAATTATAAAAAAATTTTTTAAGTTAAAATTAAAAAATATTTTAATAATGTATTTAAAAAGTTTATTGGATAAACTTATTCTTTATGTTTTTAAATAAATAAATTTATTTATTTATAATATTTTATTTATTAATTATTAAATTACAGTATGGATCAAAAATAATTGGAAAAAATTAAAACTCATATTTTATTTATAATTTAATAAAT